GGCTTTGGCCATCAAGTTCCCCTGCTGAAACGGCTGCACGGGTCCCGTTGCTAAGGGTACAGCTCGTGCAGAGCGGCCCCATCACCAGTCGATACGCTCCACTTATCGCTAATAATTTGGGCTCCAAACGGCCCGTGGAGATGCTCAGGAGTGGGTAATGCCAAAACGGGAAGCGGCTGGCACGTCGCTCCCTGCTCGGCGCAGGAGCTAACGGCATGCCGAGGCCGGCGGCGAGGGAGGCCGCGAGGACACTGAGGCTGAAGGAAACCCAGCGGAGCTCCCGATTTCAGCCGCTCGCCCGGTACCTGAGGATCTGCTTTGTCTCAGCGCCGATTACCCTTTCTGCTAGCCTGAGAGCGAAACCGCAGCTGCAGCGCGAGGAGTCTAAGGTTATGCACTAGGAGACACTTCCTAAGAGTAAAGGCAAGGAACAAAATCCGAGCAAAAATCAGGGGCTGCTAGTTCCCACGTTGAACATCCCCCAGCAAAGGCACTCTTCAAGGAAATAATTCACATCAAGTAAAAACAGCATAAAGCTGCTGTCTTTCAGCCAAGTGACTATTTCTGGGCGTGGGTGAAGCTTTTGATGGTTTAAAGTTTCTGTTTGAAACACATTAGCAAGTCCCTCCCCCTCGCCCATCCTAAGGCACAAAAGCAAACGGGAAAAGCACACACACGCGCGCGCAGGAAAAAAAACCCCAGCAGACAATGAGCAGCAGTAACTTCATCTGATCCCCACTGCTCCTCAGGAGCCGGCGCCCCTCGACGGGGACGTCCCCGACCCGGGTGCCCGCTGCAGTGACCAGGGCGTCCCTGGTGCCCCCTCGCCCTGGGGCGTCCCGAGCGCGACGGGATGCAGCGCTCGGTCCTGCCGTCCTTTCCCTAGGCCTGTCGGGGGCCCCCCCATCTGCCTGTCACCTCCCCGGCTTGACCATCCTGTCTGCCTGTCACCTCCTTGGCCTGGTTGTCCCGTCACCTCCCTGGCCATTCTGTCCTCCTGTGACCTCCCTGGCCTGACCATGTCATCCGCCTGTCACCTCCCTGGCTTGGCCATCCCGTCCGCCTGTCACTTCCCTGGCCATCCTGTCCTCCTGTGACCTCCCTGGCCTGACCATGCCATCCGCCTGTCACCTCCCCGGCCTGGCCATCCCGTCCGCCTGTCACTTCCCTGGCCATCCTGTCCTCCTGTGACCTCCCTGGCCTGGCCCCCCCGGCCCCCCTGTCACTTCCCTGGCCATCCTGTCCTCCTGTGACCTCCCTGGCCTGACCATGCCATCCGCCTGTCACCTCCCTGGCTTGGCTGTGCCATCTGCCTGTCACCTCCCTGGCTTGGCCATCCTTTCTGCCTGTCACCTCCCTAGCCTGGTTGTCCTGTCCACCTGTCACCTCCCTGGCCTGGCTGTCCTGTCACCTCCCTGGCCATCCCATCCTCCTGTCACCTCCCTGGCCTGACCATGCCATCCGCCTGTCACCTCCCCGGTGTGGCTCTCCTGTCCTCCTGTCACCTCCCTGGCTTGGCCACCCCATCTGCTCATCACCTCCCTGGCCTGGCTGTCCCGCTGCCTGTCACCTCCCTGGCCTGGCCGCCCCGTCCATCTGTCACCTCCCCGTCCGTCCCCAGGTCCTGTCACCTGCCTGGGCCGGACCACCCCACCCCTCGGCGACCATCCCACCTGGGCCTGTCCCCCCATCCCCTCTGATCCCATCCCGTCCTGTCCCATCCCATCCCATCCCCTCTGATCCCATCCCGTCCTGTCCCATCCCATCCCATCCCCTCTGATCCCATCCCGTCCTGTCCCATCCCATCCCATCCCCTCTGATCCCATCCCGTCCTGTCCCATCCCATCCCATCCCCTCTGATCCCATCCCGTCCTGTCCCATCCCATCCCATCCCCTCTGATCCCATCCCGTCCTGTCCCATCCCATCCCATCCCCTCTGATCCCATCCCGTCCTGTCCCATCCCATCCCATCCCCTCTGATCCCATCCCGTCCTGTCCCATCCCATCCCATCCCCTCTGATCCCATCCCGTCCTGTCCCATCCCATCCCATCCCCTCTGATCCCATCCCGTCCTGTCCCATCCCATCCCATCCCCTCTGATCCCATCCCGTCCTGTCCCATCCCATCCCATCCCCTCTGATCCCATCCCGTCCTGTCCCATCCCATCCCATCCCCTCTGATCCCATCCCGTCCTGTCCCATCCCATCCCATCCCCTCTGATCCCATCCCGTCCTGTCCCATCCCATCCCATCCCCTCTGATCCCATCCCGTCCTGTCCCATCCCATCCCATCCCCTCTGATCCCATCCCGTCCTGTCCCATCCCATCCCATCCCCTCTGATCCCATCCCGTCCTGTCCCATCCCATCCCATCCCCTCTGATCCCATCCCGTCCTGTCCCATCCCATCCCATCCCCTCTGATCCCATCCCGTCCTGTCCCATCCCATCCCATCCCCTCTGATCCCATCCCGTCCTGTCCCATCCCATCCCATCCCCTCTGATCCCATCCCGTCCTGTCCCATCCCATCCCATCCCCTCTGATCCCATCCCGTCCTGTCCCATCCCATCCCATCCCCTCTGATCCCATCCCGTCCTGTCCCATCCCATCCCATCCCCTCTGATCCCATCCCGTCCTGTCCCATCCCATCCCATCCCCTCTGATCCCATCCCGTCCTGTCCCATCCCATCCCATCCCCTCTGATCCCATCCCGTCCTGTCCCATCCCATCCCATCCCCTCTGATCCCATCCCGTCCTGTCCCATCCCATCCCATCCCCTCTGATCCCATCCCGTCCTGTCCCATCCCATCCCATCCCCTCTGATCCCATCCCGTCCTGTCCCATCCCATCCCATCCCCTCTGATCCCATCCCGTCCTGTCCCATCCCATCCCATCCCCTCTGATCCCATCCCGTCCTGTCCCATCCCATCCCATCCCCTCTGATCCCATCCCGTCCTGTCCCATCCCATCCCATCCCCTCTGATCCCATCCCGTCCTGTCCCATCCCATCCCATCCCCTCTGATCCCATCCCGTCCTGTCCCATCCCATCCCATCCCCTCTGATCCCATCCCGTCCTGTCCCATCCCATCCCATCCCCTCTGATCCCATCCCGTCCTGTCCCATCCCATCCCATCCCCTCTGATCCCATCCCGTCCTGTCCCATCCCATCCCATCCCCTCTGATCCCATCCCGTCCTGTCCCATCCCATCCCATCCCCTCTGATCCCATCCCGTCCTGTCCCATCCCATCCCATCCCCTCTGATCCCATCCCGTCCTGTCCCATCCCATCCCATCCCCTCTGATCCCATCCCGTCCCATCCCATCCTACGCCATCCCCTCTGATCCCATCCCGTCCCGTCCCGTCCTGTCCCATGCTACGCCATCCCCTCTGATCCCATCCCAACACATCCTGTCCTGTCCCATGCCATGCTATCCCCTCTGATCCCATCCCCTCCCATCTCATCCCATCTCATCTCATCCTGTCCCATCCCATCCCGTCCCATCCCGTCCTGTCCTGTCCCATCCCATCCTGTCACATCCCATCCCCTCACATCTCATCTCGTCCCCCATCCCCTCTGATCCCATCCCAACACATCCTGTCCTGTCCCATGCCATGCTATCCCCTCTGATCCCATCCCCTCCCATCTCATCCCATCTCATCTCATCCTGTCCCATCCCATCCCGTCCCATCCCGTCCTGTCCTGTCCCATCCCATCCTGTCACATCCCATCCCCTCACATCTCATCTCGTCCCGTCCCATCCCATCCCATCTCGTCCTGTCCCATCACATCTCATCCCATCCCATCCTATCCCGTCCCATCCCATCCTATCCCATCCTATCCCAGCCCATCCTGTCCCAGCCTATTCTGGACCCATCCCATCTCGTCCTGTCCCATCACATCTCATCCCATCCCATCCTATCCCGTCCCATCCCACCCTCCCCCACCCTTCCCCAGCCCATCCTGTCCCAGCCTATTCTGGACCATCCCATCCTACCCTAGCTCATCCTGTCCTGCTCCTTCCCATCCTATCTCGTCCCATCTCATCCCATCTCGTCCCATCCTATCCCGTCCCAATCCATCCCGTCCCGTCC